AAAATGAGTTCGTTAACTTAATGATCTTTCCAGTTGGCAGCTTTTCATGTTGCAAAATAAATACAACTAAAATATAAATCTAAGAATGTAGTTCAGACAGGCAGAGTCAGAATCACACTGCTCGCCTCTGTAAGCTTAGGTTGGAATGCAAAGAGTGGACTGTGTCACAACATGAATTACCACCTTCTGTACTCTGCAGCCTGTGGTTCTGCTACCTTTTTTTTGAAGTTAAAACTTTTAAAATATTCTGTGTCATTAGAAAAAACATCTTTTTTTTTTTTTTGAATAAAGATTAATTCTTTGAAAAAAATAGTAACCATTTGACAGCATCTGGTACGGACATTTTACCAAGCCAATATGCCTTACTAAAATATTTTTCACTTGTTATTCATTCTCTTTGTTATTGTAACAGAGATAATAACTGCATTAATTGTATGAATGAGTAGATCTTGATGATGAGAATGTGATAGATCAGTCTTTCACAAGACTATTACAGAGCATTCTTTTAAATATGGCTTTATTGAAGCAAAACCAAGAAAGAATATGCTAATGAAGGGAATGGTGTTGTTAGTGATTAATCTCTTGCCAGTAAAGATTGTGCAGATTCCTAAGTTTTGAATGCTTTAGTTTAACTCTTGCAAACTGAAAGGCGGCCTTATTCTAACATAATTGCTTAATTAAAAATAAGCTATTAATAATATGGTATTTACATCCATAAACCCTTCTGTTAAAAATTTAATTATCACATATTAAGAATAAGTAGCCAAGCTAGTTTAAGCTTTGGGAATACAGAAAAAATTAGTTGGTTGGGAAAAAAAAGTCTAATCAAAGATTTAATGGGCAGCGATTGATTGGTAATGATGATACCTTCCACTGTTTCACCTTTTATGGATGATTGATCCAGTTTGGTTTTGATTAAACTTAATAAGTTTATTCATATAACATTTTAAGAATCAACAATCTTAAGAACCACTGAACTACATCATAGGTGAAATCCTTTGAGAAAGACAGACAGACGGAGAAAAGGATTTTAGAATCTGACTTAGTAGATCACCTGATCCAGAAGCTGAAAACAAAAACCGGTGACGAAAGATGTAGTAGGTGAGTAGCATAACATATGGGAAATGCTGAACTCAAGCAGTAGAGGTTGTTGATGTCTCCTGCTACCCATGTTTCATTCTCCTTTTTCTGGCCTCAGCCAGTCTTGGCATTTAACTTCATGACTAACCTGATTCTCAGGTGTTTTGTAATGGATCTATCAGAAGCTGTGAAAGAAAATCGTTCTTTCTGAAAGTTACGTTATTTCTAGACCCTGAAAAGAGAATAGAAAAACCTTTGTTTAGTCCTACTAAACAGAGAAATGCAATAACTATGATTGTGATAACAGTGGCAAATTTGTCTTTAATGATTCTTGAATATGGAAAGTAAATGAATTCAAACTTATTATTGAAAGCTTCTTTGAATACACGTGCTCTTAAGTATAAATGCTACTTTGATACCTTAGTATTCTGTCACAGAAACCTGTAAGAAGTAGATTAAATTAATAATTCAGAGAGAATACTGTTGTAATATATTTTTGTATTAAGATCTAAATCACTCTTGCATGATAAGGAGCTCATTTTTTTGTATCCATAGGAAGCATTTCTTCTACACCTGATCTTTTGATGTAATTTTGTATGATTTCCTATCAGTTCAAGAAAAGAATTTAATCTGCAGATATGTGCTAGGAAGTGTCCATAAACTAATTTATCTGTTTGAATTAAATAAGTATGAATGATAATCTGAAACTATTGTCCTATTACAGTATTTCTTTATTATTGTAAGTTTGTTTCCTTATCTGTCTTTGTTTATTTTTAGAGAAACCTCAGATAATCTTCCAGTACTAAATCAAAAGGGATTGTTTACTAATATTTCAGGTATTTAATATCTAGTTTAAAAACATACAAATTCTTTTTCTTTCTGCTCAAAAACTATTTTATAAGAAAATGTTGCTGGAACAATTAATTTTAAAAATATTACCAAAGTCAGAGTAAGAAGATATTTTATAGCAGAGCTTCTGGTTAGAGACACTGCCTCCTAATCTCAAATGTTGTTCGAAGTGATTTAAAACTGAATTTTTCTCCAAACTAGCAAAATAGGTGCTTAAACCAGTGAACAGAATATTCTCCATACAAGCATTCATTGATGCAGTGATCCAGGAGGGGGGGGAAAGCCAAACCCACAAACTTTTTCTAGCTGAGGAGAAATTAGATGTCATCCTGATAAAAAGTAACTTGACTTGTGATTGTTACAGTGTTGAGTCCCATGTACATTGCCCTACTAAAAAAATCTAAAAATAACACTTTTTTTCAAATGAAAATGCCTTTACATTTCTAGCTATGGATTTGCACTCCTTAATTTGATAATACAAGTTTGTATATAAAGAATAATATTAAGTATTTATTGTGTGGATAAAGTTTGGTATTCTTGATAGTTACTTTACTAATATAGTGGGGGGTGGTGGTTGTTTTTAAAGAAATATTTCACACACACACTTGCTTAACAGTGAGGGAGAAAGGTGGCCGTGTTTAACTTGGGGTTTTGTGTGTGTGTAATTACCAGAAGTGGCAATTTGAATTTCAAAATAAGATATTTCAAATTTTAATTATTGAGGGGAGTTCGGGTTTCTTGTTTGGTTTGTCATTGATTCTGCAGTGGGACTGAGCATTAAAGAGCTGCCTTGTTCTTGTAATAGCTTTTCTTTTTTTGATGTTCGGTATGCTGCATTCCTTTGTGAAATTCTGCAAGCCATTTGGAACCTTTCATTAGTTTCAGGGAAAACTGATGTAAAATACCAAAGTTCTTAGTCTTAACAACCAGTCCTTCAAAGTCATAAGTGAGCATTTGAGAATTTACATGCACATCTCACTGTCCTGTCAGACTTTGGAGGTTTTCAGCAGCTTTTCAAACCCTGAATATACAGATTTTTATCTTATTAATATTTGTGAGTTTTCTGTTTCTTACTACTTCTTGTATAAAGTAAGTTTTAGTTTATAATCTGTGTTTGCATTTTAGGTGTATTTGAATCACATGGAACTCTCGTAGTGCCTAACGTTAGTGTTATAGCTCCTGAAAAATTATCTGCCAGTGCCAGGCGTCGTCAAGAAATTCAGGTACACAAACGTCAAATAAATATTAAGAAGTGTTCCTTAAAAGTTAAGGAATGGTAGAATTCATATTTCCACTACTACCTGACTTACACAAATTTATCCTATTTGTTTATTATTCATAAAATAAACACAAAAGGTTGAAGGCAAAGACCACCTTTTTTTAATGTTTTGGATGTTGGGGATTATCTGTGATATTGTGGCTCAGCCATTCTTGTGCGTACGTATTATAAATCTTATTTTACTTGGAACCATGGTTCTGAAACTTCCCTTTTTTTTTTCTTTTTTGTCTTCCCCTCCCCATCCCTAAATGCTGAAGTGTGTTAAAAGTTCTTGTGGTTTAACTCCAGCCAGCAAAATCGAGCCTCACACAGCCACTTGCTCACTCCCCCATCAGCAGGATCGGGGAGAGAACTGGAAGGATAAAAGCTAGAAAATTCACGAATTGAAGTAAAGACATTTTAATAGGGAAAGCAAATCTGGACACACAAGCAAAGCAGAACAAGGAATCCATTCACCACTTCCATGGGCAGGCAGGTGTTCAGCCAGCCCCAGGAGAGCAGGGCCCCTTCACATGTAACAGTTACTTGGGAAGACAAACACCATCACTCCAAAGGTCACCCCTGTTCCTTCTTCCCCCCACTTCATGTACTGAGCATGGTGTTATATCGTGTGGGTCACCTGTCCTAGCTGTGTCTCCTCCCAACCTCCCAGGCACCCCCAGCCCCCTTGCCAACATGGCAGTACAAAAAGCAGAAAAGGTCTGGTTCTGCGTAAGGCCTGCTCAGCAATAACAAAAACATCTCTGTATTATCAACCCTGTGTTCAGCACAAATCCAAAACATAGCCCCATGCTAGCCACTGTGAAGAAAGCTAACTCTACCCCAGCCAAAACCAGCACAAAGGTGCCAGTTCATCATACTTCCAATTTGCAGTATGTTTGTAACAGATACTCTGTGTATTTTATTTCATTCTGTTGCCTTAAAACTAAAGGCCTAAGAAAAAATTGCAGCTTTAAAAAAACCAAAAATCCCCAAACCAACCAACCAAACACAAAATCAAAACCCACAACCCTGCCTAAAACATGACATTATAGTAATGTAGAAGAGATTTGGTGATGCTAGAAACAAATGTCAGAGTTTTCTCCTTTAGGATTATTAATTTCAAGATATTTAGAGTATATGGTAAACCAGAACTGTAATTTTCTCCCCCAACTTGGACATGCAACAAAAAAATCTCCCCTATAAATAGTTCTTGAAACCCAAATAAACAACAGATTGTTACTCTCTGAGCTTTGAGCTAAACAGAGTTACTGTTTTAGGTTTTGAATATGTAAAAGCAATTTTTCCAAGGTACAAAAGACAACATAATGCAAGGCTCTGACTACATTTGTAAAGTGCTACCTTTGCAGGATCACTGGCTTGCTCTGGAAAAGTGTTACAAGGCATGACCCATTTTTTGGTTTGACTTTTAAAATTAGTCCTTCTTCAATCAACTAGAGATGATTCACTGTATCCAGTCACAGGTTCTCACATTCCTCTGAAAAGTTATCTAACCCCCAGAAACATAAAGGCAGTTTTCACTAGGTATGTGAGCATCCACGTTGTAACATGCAGTTGGTTCTGTCAGCTTTAGCACCATGCCAGTATTGTCAAGTGTTTACAATTGCTGCAAGAGTGGCTCAGCCCCAGTCTCCTTCCTCTCTACTCATCAAGCATTATCGTGACATTGTTACTGGAAATTATATTAAGCATGAATTTTAATTTAAATATTATACAGTTCTACATTTTCTGTTAGAAGCAGCCTCTTCTGTTCTCATCTGTGAAATAGAAAATCAGCACTTACAACCCATCGTCACACAAGCAGTGTATTTTAATTTTGCCAATCTTTTGTTCCCAGGTGCAAACAAGACTTCAGACATTCATTTCTAGCCTGCAACAGAAAACAAGTGAGATTGACATTTTAGCTGTAAGTATTTGGCAGAAGCCTTAATTATTCCAAATTTTTAATTGAAATGGATGATGCAGTTCCTGTCTGGAACAAACTACTGCCAGTCGCCTCACTTTAGAGATATCAAACTTCTGGCTAAATAAGACCCATAACCTGTTTCTTTAATACTTGAAAAGTATTAAAGGGATGTATGGGACAGTTGCATAGAACAAAATTTAACAAGTATTAAGTTGTAAGCTCTTAAGCTGTAATTACACTAACTACTGTGGTATATTTAATAACTTGTTCCTGCTAGATTTGCACTTCCATTTAAATCAACATAGCTCCTGTCTATGTATAGTTTTTAGACTTTGCTAACAGTGTCACAAAGGCCTTTAAAATGGTATATGCTTTTCAGGAAACATACTGCCTATTTGCTGGCACCTATCTAGAACTTTCCATAATGGACACTGTGTTTAAAATTATTGTAAATTCCTAGTTCCATCAGCATGAGTGCTTCTTTGGAAATCAAAACGTCTGGCTCACTTGGCAAACTCATTGAACAGAGAACTGTTAAGTACTGATTTCTTGGTATTTTTACAGGTAGATCTGCCAAAAGCAACTGTGATACACTTCCTATCATTAGAGGTAAGCAATTAAGTAATGTTGTTAAAACTCTAATTAAACAATAGATGATAAATTCTGTTCCTAATGAAGTGGAATGTAAAATTCACCCATTGTAGTTTTTTTCTTTCAAGGAGGTTGAATTCGGTTTTAAAACTTGAAAAGACTTTTTTACCCAAGGAGCTTGACTGAGACTAGAAAAACCTTTTTGTCAAATATCCAAGTTACACAAGACAGCATTAGGAAGTCCTAATCCAAAGCTCTGGGTTTTTTTTCCCCAAAAATAGTTAACTGAAATTAAGTCTTAACTGCACTTTTTCAGAAACCAGTAAGCATTAATGGCAAAGGTGTTTCTTGAAGCTGTTAATGAAGGAGGACCCAAAATACAGAGGCAGTTGTTTCAAGTACAGTAGTTGAAACATCTCTTAGTGAAGCCAAGATAAAAAGCGAATGTATAAATAATATATAGGCACCTTTAACAACTTGGAAACTGCTCAGTGGTGGTTAAGGGGGGATGACAACATTCTTTCCTCCAATGACAGCACTCACTATGTTTAAAGTCAGAAGCTCTTACTAGGGAGATGGATGCCTTCCCAACCCCTGGAAAAAAAACAAACTCAAGAACGGCATCCTGGAAGTGCATTTAGTATTTTCAGACCTTTCATTTGCTGCCCTGAAGCAGTCCTTGTCTGGTAATCAAAATCCAGTGAAACATTTCAAGACATTTTCAAAATATTTAGTTCATCCAGTCTGCCCAAATCATGGAGATAGTTTATCAGCTTTCAGTTAAGAAAAAAAAATTAAATATATATGCACACTATTAGCTTGCATGATTCACTTTTGATCACTGTTACATTGCAGTTATTATATTCTGTCCAGCACTGCAAAATTGATAGAGCCGTTTTCATTGCTTATGCCTTTTTAGCACTAAAATTTGTTAAGAAACTGATCCCTAAATTCTTAATAAAGTTGCAGGTGTTGTTGGTATTCATATTCTTTGAAAGCTGTTTAATTAAGGAGCATTGACATTACACAATATTGAGAAGACTGCATGCTATCCGGTGAAGTTCCTTCACAAGAGAATGTAAGACAAGTTCCTTGTCAATTTTTTTTCTTAGCTTGATGGAGATAGACAAGCCTTTGATGCTACTGTGAGACAGCTGATGTCACGATGGCCCAAACAGAGATGTTCATACTTACAAGCAATTTGTGATGAAATTTACAGTATCAAAATGGAAAAGAGGTAAATTTGTTAAGCTCTTATGGACAGGTACATAAACCACCTTATTTCTGCATTCAGACTGCTCCTACTTTGTCCTCCTTTTTCCACTCTCCCTGAGGCAAAAATAAATACTCAGTATAGTTCCTTGAAAAGTATGGGAAGAGTTTAGTGGTCATCTAACCCTCACTTACTGGTAAATTCTTCATTTTTATAAGCCCTTTCAAGAAACTCTAAAATGTATTGCCACTTCTATCACACTTGCTGCTGTGTTAATAAAACTTAATAGCAAACAACTATATGCAGTCAGATATATTCCTATACATAGTAGATATGCTTCTTTGTAAATATAGTGTATGTATATGATGGTATACATATATGCATGAATATATATATATACACACATATTTACTGCTACATAATAAACCCTCTTTTCTGATGAAGCGGACTCAGCATGCCTTTTAAAACTCATGACCACATTTAATTCCTCCTGCTTTGAAATAATACAGTGGCAGTTAGGCACAGCTAAGAGTGCCCAGCTTCAAGCAAACATGTACAGTAAAGCCCATTTCTATTTTCTAAGCATAAAAGCATATATGTTCAACTGATAGTCTCCTTGTTGCATTCTGGCAAGGCTGAAACCCAGATAGTCCAGATAATCTGGACACATCCAGTACATCCAGTTTTAAACCTCAAATTGTCAACTGTTGTATGTACTGGTACAGTTAAGTGAGTGAGACCTGGGTAGTTATGCATTTTCTTAAACCTATGTTTCACTTGAATGTACTACTTAACCTTTAAATAAGACTAAAACCTGAATTTGGTTCCTTTTTCTTAGATGCACCAAAATCCTTCATGTTTGCTAACATTTACTATGGCAACTAAAGAGCAAGTGAAGCTTTTTTTTTTTCTCCCTGGGGCTTGCAGGGCTGGGAGCAACAGAACTCAGTTATTACATACAAATAACATTCCATACAGTGTTGGGTATGAATGTAATGCAGTCCCTGAAGTCTTACTTTCCCATTTGATGCCTAAGCACTGCTTAGTCATAAGCCTTCAGGTCACTGAATGAAAACTGAACAGGCTAAATCAACTGAAAAAGGATGAAGGGGAAAATTGCAGTGACAGCCTAACAAAGACTCACTGATTTTTTTTCTACTCAATCTTTGCTGTTATCTTATTGAGAGGATTTGTCACACGAATTGTAACTTTTGAACCTGCAGTTTCAAAGTTTTAAAATTTCCTTTTTTTCCTTCCCTCTGCAGGGTTCCTGCACTTATCCTGTACAGTTACCGAGACGAATACAAGGTTTTGTTTTAGTACTTAAGGCATCTTTTATGGGATGCTCTTAAAAATGGACAACAGTGTTTCGTCAAAGGGAATTTCAAAAAGCTGTAGTAATGCAAGATGGGCAGCTAGTGCCTTTATCTGTGTCCAAATTGAATTTCATTTATATTTTCCTGGTTCTGGCCAGGACAGGGATAATTTTTGCTGTAAGGGGGAGGAGGTGTGGCCAGGACCCAGAGATTATTCTATAGGGGGAAGGGGGTCTCTTCCAAAGAGAAGGGGTGGGTCCCTTGCAGGTCAGCATAGCGTGGCAGTGGGAGCAGTCAGGCATTGTTTCCGTGGGAATCGTTTGCCTCTTCCTTGTATCCTCTGTCATTAGTATTGTTGCTGTTCCTGTTTGTTTTCATATCTCATTGCTGTTTCCAGTAAATTATTCTTAGTTCAGCCTGTGATCTTTACCTTTTGTGCCCCCAATTCTCCTCTCCAGCCTGCCAGAGGGGAAGGGGAAGCAAGCAGCACATGGTTTTAGTGGAAGCACTAAATTGGAGAACACCATTCCTAAAGCACAGCAGCCTTATTGGAGAATACCATTCCTAAACCATGACAAATGTAAAACTGTATTATGTCAAAATGTGGAAATAAATGTTTTATAGGCAATTAAGGAGTGAGTCTGACTATAGCCGCAGCTATGTATTACCATGTAATTCTTGCCCCTTATGCTACAAAAATCAGCTGTACAGGTGTAAAACTAATTTTTTAAAATAGTTTCAGACTGCCTTTTATGCAAGAGTAGTACTGCAATGAGAAACCTCAGTTCAAGAACTAGGGAGAATAAATTGCCTTCAACTATGACAAACTGTTGTAAACTTTTTTGAAGAATTTTTATGTAATAAAAGGTTTAGCAACTGAGCCTTCTTGAAATATGCATTACAAGCTATTGGTGTGTGATTTTTTTTGTTTTGTTTTTTTTTTTTTAAACATCCTGTTTTAATTTATATATAAAATATGGCAGATTTTGGGCTGAGAGCTACAAGCCTGGCTGCCTATGCTTGTCCTGTCTGTACTTTTGCATTTAAATCAAGCTTCTGACAGAAGCAAGCACTTGCTTCAGACCTGCAGGATCTAAACCTAAGAGAGTAATCTGCATGTGCTTGAGGCATAACCAAAGTTTTGACCTAGCTTGCTTTCCTTACCTGGGTAGTCAGATTAACTTTGAAGTCAGTAATGATGGAAATACTATAATTATCTTCTTGAAGCAAGCAGCACCACCCCATCAGGAAAAATGAAGCTGAGAATCTGAAGATGAATTACAGCAGCCATAGTTAACTAAGCATTGTATTTCACATCAAAGTAATGGAATGAATATGCAGAAATGTTAAGAGATTTCTGGAAATATACTAGTGTTTACCATCCCTCCCCACCTGCTACCTTCTCTTTAAACAGCTTACCCCTCTTTCCTTTTCTAACTCAAATGACTGCCATTAGCACTGCAGGCTCATTGTATTAAGAAATATCTACTTACTAATTTCTGCTCTGCTCTTTTAGTTAAGAGGAGTGCAGAGTTAAAATATGGAAAGAGGTAACTTTAAAGACAAACCCAAGAACTTCTGAGAACTGTGAAAGTTGTAACAGCAACACCCAAAGCAGAATCAATCCTAAAGGCACAGACAACTTTACCATTCCTAGTAATTCACCAAGACAAGTCATTACAAGCAAATCCATTTTTCATTATGTTTAATAGGAACAATTAAGTATTTTTACATCTGCTCATATGAAGGAAGGAAAATTCAGATCCCCAAATATATTGAAGGATGAAGTTTAAAAAAAATAAAAGTTTAGATGACATGAGCATTCTTAAGCCATGTCTGAAGGGAACATGATGCAAAGTCCTACCCTCCCCCCACCCAGGGACAGCACAGCTGGATCAGCATGGAGTGAAGGCACAGCTGCCTTGCTCTACAAGAGCTCAAGCACTGTGATGGCTGCCTTAAGGATATCCACACTACATCATCTAGACATGTCCCTCAGATTAAGACACACAAACAGGAAAGCAGCTGTTCCTGATAATATGTTGGCACCTGCTTTCCCTGTTATTACTGAGGCTCATGTATAAAACTGGGCATCCGTCACTGGGGCTCCTCCTCCAGTCTTATTTTGTTTCTGGTATGGTGCATTTCTCTTCACCCTGTGTTACCCCCCAAACAGGTTTTACAAACAGCAGCAGTATAAGTACAAAACTTCTGAGTCTAAAACTATTTTAGTATAACACTGTACATACTCCTGCCACACAACAATCCAAAGAAAGCACCTCTGCTGTCAGTTTAAACAAAAGTACTGATCATATCCCAGTATCCTGCTGGAAGGAAAGCCAAAGACAAGTGGTAACTCAAAAAGAAATGGACTTTGCTTTGAGTGAGGGTCAAGTCTGCTATGGTGATGGTAGGACACTGTTCCATCACTGTGTTGCTTTACTTTTCTTGGTTTTGCTTTTCTTGTCTTTTTTCTTCAAGCCATCCATGTTAGCCCTCAGCAGATTTGAATATGCCTGAAACAACAATTGGAACCATTTAAAAAAACCCAAATATTTAAATGATAATATATGAGAAGTAGCATTTTACATATTACTAAGGGATAGTTATCTGCATTTTCTCAGAAGAATGCTCTTACACCCTGCACTGCGAACATACTGTTTCTAAACCAATGCACAAAGTCAGATAAAATGAAAGACTATTTTTTAAACAAATGCAGATGGATGAGTAGTCTAAGGTTAATCTACATAGCAGTTCAGCACAGAATCAACCTATTCACAGTTGTGCAGTGCTTCCAACTGACCATTAACAATACCTAAAGAAAGGGAAGATAAAAGGCATACAAAACTTACCATCTGGAATTTATTTACTTCCTTTGAGCTCACCTACAAAAGTAATACTGAAGGTTAACCAAGAAAACTCTGGCTTGCATTACAAACCAAGTATCACTACATGTTTATCCACCAGATAGCATATAGTCTTTTTAGCAGCAGTTGGGTCCACTCATTACATTCAGTGGCCAATAGGCTGTACTGATATAAGAGTTCGCTCATTTAGAAAGATGAAAATGTTACTTGATTAACAAAATCCTCTAGAGGCCATTCATCCCTAATCCATGTGTTTTCAAATGGGAAGAATGTGAAGGAACATTCAGAGGAAGGTTTGATTAACTTGTAGGGCAATAAAAGCACTGCAGCCCAGATTTGCTCAACCATTTCTCAAAGTAACATTTTTCCTTGTGTCACATCACAGAGGAGAGCTAAGGTCAGCTAAATCCTTTCCCAATCCCTCATTCAAAGTAAACACACATCAGGTTTTCAACTTCTAGTTAATAGTTTCTGAAATTTAACTTAAAATACAGAGCATTAAATCAAAGACCCATAAGACCCACTAATCTTTCTAACTCAAAAGTTGTCACTTACCACTGTGCTAATTTTCTTCTTTCCATCAGTTGCCCTTAGAAGACACTTATTGTCTGCTGGTTCGAAACTTTCTACGTGGCCTTTGCGTGGGACCGGTTTTGTTCGGCCATCATCTGTATTGAAAGAGAATTTTATCCATATTTCGTTAAAATCAAGAGATGCCTTCTGACATTAGATGTTAAAAACATGCTCATGATCTATAAAACACTTTGGAATTCAAGGCCATCTGAACTGACAAACTGTTCACAGACTTCTTACTCTGTAACCCCAGAAGGATCTGTTCCATGAGCTACATCTGCCAGAAAAAATAAATTAAATCCTCACCCTGACATGCCGTATGAACCACCTGCTCCAGCAGCAGTGTGCTTGTTATCCTGCTACCTCCCACACAGGGCCTCCCAAGTAGTGCCAGCTAGCCAGGAACCAGAGGAACATGAACAGACCAAAGCAACACTGGAATTCTCCTTGTATAGAAATGTAGTGCCCTTCAATTATTGTTTGGTAATCAGAAAGTCCCATATCTCCTGCACTCTGAAATACAGTCTTACTCAAAGTTTATTAGTACTACTAATGGCAGTACCATTAGTACACCAGCTGACTGGTTTGTCCCTATGACTGCTCTTGTTTCCAGACACTCTGGATTACAACTAAATCTTTTAAAATACCTGCTGACAACACTCAATCAGGTGCAGAGGAACACCTCCTTAGTCCAGTACCAGATTCAAAACTTACATTTCTTCAGTGTTATGAAAACACTCCCGGAAGTTCTGCACTTTTGGAACAGCCTGGTAAGCTCCGTCAGGAACTGCAAGAGAAAAGAGACCCGAACGTGGTTGGGGAGCACCACACAGCGGCGAGCCCCTCTCCCCGCGCAGCCCCTGCCTCGCCCCAGGCTCTCCATCCCGCAGGAGCCAGCGCCGAGGGAAGGCGAGCTCCCGGGTCTCCCCACGCCGGAGCTGCAGGACACGAGGCCGCAGCCAGGGGCGGCCCGGCCTGGCCCGCGGCTCTGACTCCGGACACGGGATCTGAGCTTCCCGCGGCCCCGGCGCTCCTGCCCTCCCCCCCGCCCGAGTCAACGGGCACAGCGACGCTCGCCCTGCTCCGCTCCCCTCCCCTCCCCCGCAGCGGCTCCCCCGCCGCCGGGGCCGCCGCTGGGCTTTGCGGGCCCCTCTCCCTCCTTCCCGCCCTCCTCCTCTCCCTCAGTCCCCCCGCGGCGGCACAGGGAGCTCGCCCCGCGCTGCCGGCGCCGCCCGGCCCGGCACCTGCTCGCTCTCCAGCAGCACCATCCTGCCCGCGCCGGAACCAACGCGCGCGCAGGCGCAGGGCAGCGGCAGCGCCACGTCAGCGGGGCGGGGGGGGCGCTCACGGGGCGGCACCGCCTCTGGCACCGCCTCTGGCACCGCCTCTGGCACCGCCTC